AACACGATTCTGATAACCGTAGCCAAAGTTATGGCCAAAATATCGTAACATGTCTAAAAACTGCCCTAATTAGGAAACATTGTCGATTATTTGCCATTTTTGCGCTGATTCGCCAACTCATGGTATCTTAGCGCCATCAACGAGCTATCAGACAACTCGACATCATTTGACTCAGATCCTCCTGCATCAACGACTCTTTAGTCGCAGAAAGGTTCATATAAAAAGCTATGTTGTTTTGTAATAGGTGTAACCTTTTGATTGTGTAATCTAATCCATTAAATTTGAATTGGTGTTATCTAATAGTTGAAATTAATTTATACCAAAAGATGTAACCATAGGATGAGACACATGAAAATCAATAAATAGGACACTCCTAATTCTATTTTATTCACTTCAAATAAATTTCATATAATTGATTTCTATTCAATGTTGTCAAAACAGGTCCAGCCCTGCCGATTCAACCGGTAAAATTGGGAACCGAACCCAAAACAGAGCCAAATGATGCCTGGTTAATGGACTATGACAAAACCACTAAAAAACCATTGAACCGGCCGGTTCAACAGTAAACTGGTGAACCGATCACGATTTTGAGCGACTTTCTCAATTTTTTTTAGTTAATGAATGAGCTTCATAAATTACAATTCTAAAGCCCATAAAGAATCATTGGATGTCATCTGTGACATGTTCATCGGTTTATGGTTGAACCGGCGGGTTCAATGGTTTTTAGTGGTTTTGTTATAATCCATTAACCGGGCATCATTTGGCCCGGTTTTGGGTCCGGTTCCCAGTTTTACCGGTCGAATCGGTCAGGACGGGCCGGTTTTGACAACATTGAGTAGAAATCAATTATATGAAATTTATTTGAAGTGAATAAAATAGAATTAGGAGTGTCCTATTTATTGATTTTCATATGTTTCATCGTATTGCATCTTTTGGTACAAATTAATTTCAACCATTAGATAACACCAATTCAAATTTAACGGTGTAGATTACACCATCAAAAGGTTACACCCATTACAAAACAACATAACTTTTTATATGCATCCTTTTGCGATTGAAGAGTCGTTGATGTCGGAGAATCCGAGTCAAATGATGTCGAGTTGTCTGATAGGTCATTGATGGCGTTGAGATACCATGAGTTCTGGAGCAGCGCAAAAATGGCAAGTAATCGATGATATTTCCTAATTGGGGCAGGTTTTAGATACGTTTCGGTATTTTGGCCATAACTTTGGCTACGGTTATCAGAATCGTGCTCATGACCTCAATTCGGAAAACTCTTTTCAGCATGCACATCATGGTCACCAGATTCGCTCGGTGTGAATTGATTTCAAGGGCAAATTTTGCTATTTTCCTTTTCGAATACCAAATTTAAGTTATTTTTTGCTTTTTTTAGTAATATTTAGTTTGTCTTTTTAACATAGATTTTGAACTCGAATTGAACCGAATTTTTGGGATATTATTTCTCTTATTACGTATTTTCTTTTGGTATGAATATTGAAATTTTGCTTACTTTGAAAAAATTTCGATAATTATGATTTTTGAGCTACATAACCCGACTTGTTAGTTATTTTTCATTTGTCGGATGAATAATAAAGTTATTTTAACAACACATTTCTTTGGGCTCACAACTATATATTCAACAATACATTTTATCAACTTTTATCAAAATTTACTAAAAATGTGATTTAATGTCTACCAAACAGGCTCGTTTCTTCTGAAATGCCACACCTTTCATTGTCCTAATTCAAAACATGATTCAGTGCGATGGTTACAAGTAGGGGTGGACAAATTACCTATTTAATCGACACAAGTCGCGAGTCGATTCGATTTGACTGTTTGGAGAGATGTTGGTTTGGTTTTCGGGTTGGCCTGAATCTGATAACTGACTCAGTTCAATTTGAATCAGTTTATTCATCTTGTTGATTTGATTTCAGGTTGAGATTTCTCGCAATTTGAACCATCAATTCGATTGTTTAGTTGAGTCCTAACCAGATTCAAGGCGACTCGTGCCCACCCCTAATCACAAGAATTATAGAAAGCTTTCACGTTGAAACGATGCCTATTAGAATTCAGGGATTTAGGTTGACAAGATATGTCGTTGCAACATGAGAAGTTCGCAAGATTAGGTTAACATCAGTTTTATTCAAACCTTTTTGTTGACTTTCCCAACCAGCGTTGAATCCATCTTCTGTTTTTCATCCACAAGAGTTTCCTCCTCCATATGGTGATGGAATTTACTGAGTGATTCTTATAGCCGTCAACTGAAAAAGTCTTCAATTAATACGTATACTAATCGCGACTTTTCAAATACAAATGGTGCATATTAAAAATTCATATTATTTCGAATTGGGTGACAATTTAGCCCCTGTTTGAAACCCATTTTTTATCTCATTCTCATTCTCATTTTTCTACAGTACTCATTTCTAACCACACATTCTTCAAATAAAATAATATTATACATAAACCCAAAAATTCTTCTTACTTTTTAACCACATATTCTTTACATCAATCACTATTCAAA